TCACAAAAAATGAGCTGGGAATGGTGGCACACACCTGTAGTCCCAGCTACTCAGGAGGCTGAGGCAGAGAATCACGAGCTTGAGAGACGGAGGTTACAATGAGCCAAGATTACCTCATTGCACTCCAGCCTGAACAATAGAGCGAGACTCCATCTCAAAAAAAAAAAAAAAAAAAGCATATGAAAAGATGAAAAGATGTTTAACCCTCATTAGTTACTAGGAAAATGCAAATTAAAACCATAATTAAGATAGAACTGTATGCCTATTAGACTGGCGAAGATTTAAAAAGGTACAGTTGCTGGTGACAAATGTAGAGCTACTGGAACTCCCATTCGTTGCTAGTAGGAATGCAAAATGGTACACCCGTCTTGAAAAAGATAGGCAGTTTCTTATAAAACTAAACATTCACTTATGATATTCACCCAGCTACCTGACTACCAGGTATTTACCCAAGTAGATTTTTAAAAAATTTCTTGGCTGGGTGTGGCAGACAAGCACTTTGGGAGGCTGAGGTGGGCGGATCACAAGGTCAGGAGTTTGAGACCAGCCTGGTCAACATGGTGAAATCCCATCTCTACTAAAAATACAAAAATTAGGCGGGCACGGTGGCGGGTGCCTATAATCCCAGCTGCTCGGCAGGCTGAGGCAGGTGAATAGCTTGAACCCGGGAGGCAGAGGTTGCAGTGAACCAAGATTGCACCACTGCACTCCAGCCTGGATGACAGAGCAAAACTTCTGGAAAAAAAAAAAAAAAAGAAAAAAATTACCTTCCTATAAAAATCTGAATATTTATATTATTTTAAAAATAGTCACCCCAAACTAGAAGTATCCCAGATGTTCTTCAATGGGTAAATGGATTAATTATAGTACATTCGTGCAATAGAACACAACACAGCATCAATAAGGGACACACTATTGACACATGCGATTGCTTGAATGAATCCTAAAGGCATTATGCTGAGTGAAAAAAGACAGACCCAGAAGTCTACATATTGTGTGATTCCATTTATATGACATTCTGGAAACAGCAACACTGTAGGGGTATGTGATGCTATGAAATGTTTATTTGTTCTTCATCTAGTTTCCTGTAATATGATTCCTAAACCCTTAGAATCTCCAAAGTGATGTCATTTTGTGTGCTAATAAGTTGACTCATGGCTGGCAGCCCCTAAGTAGCTTCAGGATGGGAGCCAGTCATAGGAAAGACCAGGGCAGGATTAGAGGGTTCAGCCTTTCACTCTACTCCACAATGTCTGGGAATAGGGAGAGGGTTTGAAGGTTTAGTTGATAATCAGTGGCCAATGATTTAATCAGTCGTGCGTCCATAATGAGGCTTTCATGAAAAGGACTCATTTCCTGAAAAGGACTTGGTTCAGAAGACTCAACAACTGAACACCTGGAGATTCCTGGAGGGTAGGATGCCCAGGAAGAGCATGGGAGCTCCTTGCCCCTTCCTTCATGCCTTGCCATATGCATTTATTTACCATATCCTGGAAATATCTTCAGATTTTTTTTTTACTTTTTTCATTGATACATAATAATTGTACATATTTAATTGTACATAGTGATGTTTAGATATATATAAAATGTATAGTGATCAGATCTGGGTAATTATATCTCTATCATCTCAAACATTTATTATTTCTTTGTGTCGAGAACATTCAATATCCTCCTTCTAGTTATTTGAAACTATATATTATTGTTAACTGTAGTCATCCTACAGTGGTATAGAGCACCAAAACTTGTTCTTCCTATCTAGCTATAATTTTGTATCCTTTAACAAATCTCTTCCTGTCCCTCCCTTCCCACCATCTGGTATCCTCTGTTCTACTTTTTACTTCCACTGATATCTTTTTAAGCTTCCACATGTGAGTTAGAATATGCCGTGTTTCACTTTCCATTCTTGGCTTATTTCACTTAACATAATGTCCTCCAATTCCATCCATGTTGCTTTGAATAACAGAATTTCATCCTTTTTATGGCTGAATAATATTCCATATAAACAGTAAATGTAAGTAAGTGTTTCCCTGAGTTCTGTGAGTTCTTACATTCAGTGAATGTAAGTGTTTCTTCTGAGTTCTAGCATATTAATCAAACCCAAGGAGGGAGTTGTGGGAACCCTGATTTATAGCCAATCAGTCAGAAGCACAGGTAAAATAATCTGGGGCTTGCAGTTGCCATCTGCAATGGGGGCAGTCTTCTGGGACTGAGCCCTTAACCGGTGGGATTTGATGCTGTGTGTTCATTTAGCTAGTGTCAGACTTGAATTGGAGGATACTCAGCTGGTGTCCACTGCAGAACTGATTGCTCGCTTGGTGTGTAGGGGAAGAAAGCACCACACGTTTGGTCACAGACCCATTCTGTGTTGATTGTTGTGAAGTAAAAACAGAGGAAAAAATACTTTATTTTTTATTCTCTAGTCACAGAATGGAACATAAAGCAGTTGTTTTCTTGGCTTGGGATTAGGAGGGGGATTAACTAGAAAAGGACCACTTAAGGACATTCAGAGGATGATGGAACTCTTCTGTATGGTACTCTGTTGGTGGATACATAACACTATGTGTTTGTCAGATCCCATAGAATTATATACAGCAGAGCTGTTTTTTACTGTATGCAAATTTGAAAAAAAAAAAATCAAGCAGGAACCAAAATAGAATGCAAACTATGACAAAAGATCTAACTATATTACAAATGAGTGACCTACCGACACTGTAGGAGGTGGAGGAGAAAATCATATGTTGAGTAGATATTAAGCTGAAGACAAAAAGTACTGTATACAAGCACTGTACTCTAGTTGGTAATTTTTTTTTCTTACCAGTATATGGGCTAACAATTCTGAAATCTCTTTATGTATGTATAAAATGTTTTGGCATACATGTACACCTAACATATATACCAGGATTGAATAAATAAGTAGCAAAATTTTAATGTCAGAGACAGAATCACAAGAGGAATGCTAGAATAAACCCTGTGGATGTTGGAATGAAGTCAGAAGTATCAGTATGAATGCATGCTTTTAAATGCACACACAATGAGTTACACACACACAGAGTAGATACAAAAGTAGATATGACTATGTTTGTATACATGGGTTAGTGTGTGTTTATATATTTCTTTGCTCTGTCCACTTTGAGGACCTAGAAGCAGTGACAGCCCAGTACCAGTGAGCAACCTGGTGCCCAGATTTTGGTTTCTAAATACCATTCTCTAATAAAAGGGACCTTGGAAAACCTTGAAAAAGTAGTTTATTCTAGTACCAGGTCAGTGGAAATACAAGATGAGCTTAAGGTATTTTGTGGTGTCAGAAAGTAGGGAAATACTTTTAAAAAGAAAGAAAGATGATACATGTCAAAAGGATACGGGAGCCAACCCAAAAGATCTCCCAGTGTTCAATGCTGTAATCATGAGCTACAAAATAACAATAATATTGGATTATGGCCCAGGGAATAAAAAATACCCATGAAGGTGGGGCACAGTGGCTCATGCTTGTTATCACAGCACTTTTGGAGGCCAACGCAGGCGGATCACAAGGTCAGGAGTTCAAGACCAGCCTGGCCAACACAGTGAAACCCCGTCTCTACAAAAAATACAAAAATTAGATGGGCGTGGTGGTGGGCACCTGTAATCCCAGCTACTGGGGAGGCTGAGGCAGGAGATTGCTTGAAGTCAGGAGGTGGAGTTTGCAGTGAGCCGAGATGGCATACTCCCAGACTTAAAAAAAAAAAAAAAAAAAAAACCCATGAGTCCATACTGCTATGAATAAATGATTGAGTAGATAAATGGGAGAGAAAGAACAACTCTTCCCTTATAGAATTATTACAGATAATAAATGTGGACGGAATGAGGGCAATAGAAAATCACCATGGGAACACCACTGTAACACTTGCTTCAGTGAGACTCACCAATGAATGCAAAATTAATGGGCAGAACCTTAATAAATAAATATTTACCTAAAAAATCCTCTGCCCCAAATAAAACTAAAAAGAAAAATCGTGACTTTATGATGGAGAAACCTGGCAGCAATGCCCTCACATAAGTGATGAAGGTTACCATCACCAATAATCAGATACTGTGTCTTCCCTGCATACGCTGCGCTGAAATGAGCATATCACCTCTGTGGTCATTGCCCTACACATCCACAAGCACATCTAATTATGGAAAAACATAAGACAATCCCAAAATGATGCACATTAGTCAGAACACCTGACCAAGACTTCAAAAGTGTCAGGGTCATGAAAGACAAGCAAAGACAGTGCTGTCACAGGTCAAAGGAGCCCAAGGAGAGACAGCACAGCTCTGTCCAGCATGGGGTCCTGGATCGGATCCCAGACCGGTGTAAGGAAATGAGCGGAACAGCCAGTGAAACAGAAGTGTGTAGTTTAGTTAATAGTGTTGCGCTAATGTCAGATGCTTGGTGTTGATCATTATACTGTGATAATGTGGATGTGAATATTGGGAAGCTGTGTGAGGGGTATTTGGGAACTCTGTTTTATCTGTGCAGCTCTTCTATATGTCTAGAATTATTTTAATATAAAAAGCCTTTGTTTTAAAGCTAACCAATGAAGAAAAGGGGAAAATACGTGTTCTTTGGTGAAAAGGTCGGAAGTGACTGGTGTAGAGGAAGGAACATCAAGAGCAGAAAGGGACTGTGCCTCCGTAAGGCACACTTTCATTTTACGGCCAGTTAACTGAGGCTTAGAGAGCTTGGGGGCCGTGGCCAAGGACACAGTGCGAGTACCTGGAGGGCAGGATTGGGCTCGGGCTTCCTGACTCAATGTGCCGCTATTTGATCTCACCATTTCTCTGCTCCAGAGTTGGATTATTCTGTAATTGTTCTGATAATGCTGTTTCTGCTTTGCATATTTTTAAAAGTAGATTTCATAGCCCTGGTTAAACATCATGTTGAGTCAAATACCACCCATGTTCCCTATTGTAGGTGTCTGTTTTCATCATTTCTACCCTCCAGGCGATGGCTTACGTATTTGCATTACTCTATTCAGCAGAAATTGGAGACCAGCAAAAGGCCTCCGTCTGGAACTTCCACTACCTCCAAGAGCACCTCCCCAACCCTCACGCCCTCCCCTTCACCCAAAGGGCACACTGCAGAGTCCTCAGTGTCTTCCTCCTCGTCCCATCGGCAGTCCAGGAGCAGCGGGGGCTCCAGCAGTGGCACCATCACAGATGAGGGTGAGTCCCCTGAGAGCCTGAAACACCCCACCTATTCCTCACCACGATGACCTGGCAGCAAGGAACTGCAAGGTGACCTTAATTGCTATAACCATCCTAGGTCAGGTTTTAAGAAAATTTACAACGAACATATCCTTACTCTTCTCTGAGTCTACCTTTTATTTTTGTCTTCACTGTGCGAAAGGTATGGTAACCTTCCTCAAAGAGTTTTTGAGTATAGGTGAGTCTTGAGTATAGGTGAGTATAGGAGAAGCATACACCCTTGAAAATGCTTCTCCATCACTAGCTTACTTTCCCTGGACCCTGTACCAATCAAGAGTCTTTCAGTTGAAAGCGAGAGAACCGCCACTCACACTGGTTCAAGGAAAAAAAAAAGGAACCTAACAATTCAATGGCTCATATAATGTGAGTGTCTAGGGTGTGCTTCAGCCATGTCTGAATCCAGGTGCTTTGGGAGTGTTTCTCTCCAGGTCTCAGGTAGGCTCTCTCCAAGTGGTGGCAAGCAGCTTCAGGCATACTTTTGTCTTCCTGCTAATTTTTCAACCCTAGCAGAAAGAGTGCTGCTTTCTCAGTAGATCCAGCAAAATCCCAAGTGTAAAGGCCATTGGCTTGACTGTACTAAGAATGTGTTGATTGGCCATGCCCCCTGGGTCAGTTTTCTGCTTTGGAGCTGGAGTTGGGGTCCAACCTGCTGACATTTGTGTATTAGAAGTGGGAAAGAAATAGTTTCTCAAAGCAAAATTTGGAAATACTGTTTCCAGGAGGAGGAGGATGGATGAGGGCAAGCAAAAGTAATTGATGTCCGCTGAAGCCAGGAGAGCCTTGGAACCTGCCTTGTGAATTCCAGGCTCCACAACCCCCATGCGGGGCATGAAGTGGGTGGCAGGGCAGGAGCAGAGGGTTTGCAGTCAGGCCCCAGGAAAGATAAAGGCAGACGAAGAAAGGAATTCCATCCTTTTAAACTGCCCTCTGGTGGCCCCCAGGAGCTGAGAGGTGGGAAGGAGAGAAGGAGGGAACTGTGGTGAGAGCTGGGGCCTGGCAGGTGCAAATGGACGAGTATAGATCAGCAAGGAGGAAGATCTGACTGTGCGTGTGGCCCTCACAGATGCATTTGCGGGCAGCTCGTCACTGCTGCAGCTGCCGAGGAGGAGGGTGCTGAGCAGGTTCTGCTGAGTAAGATAAGTTGGAATCACCTGCACAGGCTCTGGTCTGTACTAAGTTGATAAATGCATGCTGCCATTGGTATCGTCCTTATTTGGAGGCTGCTTTTATTGTTTTGTGATATTCAGTGTGATCATTTATCAAGGCTTCAGAGATTCACCAGCAAACTCATTCCTCTCCAACTGTGTTTTCTATATGGAGTCTTTTGAGTTTCACATTCGTGAATTCTCCCACCTCCGAGGCTTTTAGGAATTGAAGCCCCTAGAGATTCATTTAGGTATTTGTGCCCCATCGTTTTCCAAAAAAGAGTCTAGACAGTGGATGTCCATATGGACTGCCTGTACCCACTCTCTTTCCCTCTTGTTTATTGTAAAAAACGGTTTGCAACACCCTAATTGGGATGAAAAAGGAAGAGGGCCAATAGCACTTTATTTTTAGAATAATTTCTCTGGTTTAGAAAGCCGAGTTTTCCCTTTGAGAGTTCCTGGGTCCTGAGGCAGTGAGCCCTTTGTGCTGTGCGTGTAAGATTGTTACAGGCCAGGGGCTATAATCCCCCCAAACAGTTATTTTTATGATATTCTTCTGGAAAATGTGTGGTCCCAGTCAAGGACACATGTGAGCTCTGCCCTGCCCCATCTCTGCATCTGCATTCCTTCTCTCTGGACTCCACCTGTTAGAAGCAGCAAGGTTTATGACATCATCTTTTCAGCCTCACATTTATTCCAGGAAGTTTTCTTGGGCAGTCCCTGGGTGCTGTAACCTGTGCACCCAGGAGAACTCACAGGGAGACAGACACATTCAACATAATGACATTGGAGTGTAACACAAGGTGAGGCCAACCCCGTTATCACCAAAGCACCATGTGCCGTGGAAGACTCCTCTGGCATGCGGGCACTCTCCCTGGACCATGATGCTGGGAAGAGACGGGCAGTGTGGTCCCAGAGCCCACTGTTTAATTTGTAGGAAATACCCAAGCCAGTTGTTAAACATATCCATTATTTACAAATTGCATGAACTCAAAATTAACTAAATTATATAAATATAAAGGTATATTGTACTTAAAATGTATTTTTTACTCATTTTTATATATTTTGTCTGTGTTCTTGAGGTTGTGTATATTTCCTATCTGTGCAGTGTGAATAGCCTGTAATGATGTGTTCCGACTGCGTCTCTGCTCAGCTTTACTTTCAGAGACATTAGATAGGTAGGTTGAAATTGGCTATGATGGGGGTATTTACACCATGGAAATTGGCAAATGCTGTCCATCAGGGCTTGGTTTTTGTTTTTTTTTTTTTTTTAAGACAGGGTCTTAGTCTATCACCCAGGCTGGAGTACAGTGGCACAATCACAGTTCACTGCAGCCTCCATCTCCCTGGTCTCAAGCAATCTGGGGCTTGATTTGTTGTCTTACAGATACTGTCTAGATGTCATCTAGTTAGTGATGGGAAAATGTTAACAATGAGGATTAAACTTACAAGTGTGTTACGTCTGTAACTGATATTTTGTGAATAGCACGAAAAGTAGAGAAAATATTCTTCCAGTATTTGAAAACCATTATTTGATGCAGTCAGGTTGCTCACATGAAGTTCCAACATAAGTCTTTGTTGTTTCTTTTTATCTTTCTGGTTTATGTAAATAAAACTCTCAGCCAACATTCATGTTAGAACCATACTCCTTGGCTGTGGGTACAAGAGTAGGGCAAAAACAAATGAAAGCATTTGGTGAGAATCAGTTGGCTCTATGGAATTTATAAGAAAGAATATTGTATTCTTTATTATTTGTAAATTGTGTGCTGTACATCCTTTATGTTAGTAAAATCTGCAGTAGACTTACGTGCCTATATACATGCATACGTTTCCCCCCCAAGAGCTGTTATTAAACATTTCCCAGCACACCACTGTGGACCAAGGCTGCACGTGTAGGGAACGGCCAGAGCAAAGGTTTGGTGTTATGAAGTACAACAGACTATGTGTGGATTGAGATTTGATTTGTCTCATGCATTATCGCTCAGTAGCCTCTCCTCTGTGAAGGTTTCTAGTCCCTTGGGCTGGATCAGCTGTCCTTTCTGTCCCCATATACCCCTTCACCGTAGCACACATCACCCATGAGAAAAGTAGAGAATAGGCACCCAGCACAGGCCTGGTGGCTACACCACTGGGCTTGAGTCCCAGCTCTGCCATGGACTAGCAGGAGGACCTCACACAAGATGTGGTATCAAGCCTTTCTGTGCCTCAGCTCCTCATCTGTAAATGGGGACAGTAATAGGTTCTACCTCATTGGTGTTGTAAAGAGCAAGTAGGTCATCCATGTACAGGGTGGCTGATAGTGAACACTGTGCATTAGCTTTCGCCCTCATCATCTGTCCTCCCAGCCACACTGAGTTCCTTCATGACAGGGACCTCTCCATCCTTGTTACCCAGCATCCATGGGGCACAGTGGTAGTCACTGCTGGAAGGATGGATGGTTGATTGAATGAGTGAGGGAGTGAATAAAAGGAGGAACCCAAGCCTCCCAATCACTTTAAGCTGCCTCCACTGCCTCAGGACCTTTGCACCTGCTCTTCTCTGTCTTGATGCCACCTGAAGCTCTCCCTCCAATATCTGCATAGCTCACTCCTTCATTTACTGCTCATAGGTCACCTCATAAGAGTCTTTCCATCACCATCCTCTGTAAAACAGCATTTGTAAAACTGAAAACGCTATCATCTACCTTGATGCTGCTCTCTTCTTCCTTGCTGTCTTGCCTATCAGCCTTTTTTATTTTTTCTTTTTTTGAGACAGAGTCTTGTTTTGTAACCCAGGCTGGAGTGGGGTGGCATAGTGGCATGATTGCAACTCACTGCAGCCTCACACTCCTGGGCACAAGTGATCCTTCTGCTTCAGCCTCCCGAGTTACTGGGACTGCAGGCACACACATCACAACACCCAGCTAATTACTTTCAAATTTTTGTAGAGATGAAATCTCTTTAGTGTCAGGCCTGGTCTTGAACTTTTGGGCTCAAGTGACCTGCCATCCTTGGCCTCCCAGAGCCTTGGGATTACAGACGTGCACCACCTGCCCGGCCCCTGTCAGCCTTCCTGTTGTCTCTTTTGGTGTCTGTTGAGTCCCCCGGTGCCTAGTCTGTCAAATCTCAATTGAATATGTGAGTGAATATTTCTCCAAGCCCCTCAGGTGCTGGTCTTACCTCCTTTTCTTTATCCTCCCTGTTCTGACACTGCATATCTTCTCCTAGTGCCTTTCTGGCTCTGCTGTTCCACATCAATGCCTTTTTCTTTCAGGAAGGCCACAGCCTCTGCACACTTGGGCCAAACCCTGGCTCTGGTCTGAAGCCCACCACCTTCTTTCTTAAGTTCTTCCTCAGACTAGCTGAGGACTCACTGGCATTGGCATTTGCACAGGTGTTGGCATTTACGATGCCTTCTGGCACAGAAGAAGATCGAGTTTTAGTTCTGGCTGCTGGAACTCCGAGAACGTGAGGGTCACAGTCCAGAGGGAATCCGTGAGTCCTGGCCCAGACTCTCCGTGTTTTGCAGCCTGATGTGGAGTTTTGGTGATTACTGAGGACCTGCTTCGAGGGGAAGAGGGTGCACGTAGCTCAGGAGCGGGAGCCTGGCTGAGATCAGCTTTCCGTGTTGGCATTTCTTATCTAGAATTTCATTTGAAAAAGATTACCACTACTTTATAGAAGTTTAAAGACCACTTTTTGGATACATTTTACCGAATTCTAAAATGTGTATGTCTTGTTTTTTTTTTTTTAACCTTTCCCTCTTGAAGATGAACTGACTGGAATCCTTAAGAAATTATCTCTTGAGAAATATCAGCCCATTTTTGAGGAACAGGAGGTAAGGATGCTCTTTTTGAATGTCAATTTAAATCTTACTGTAAAAGAAAACGTTGTCTAAATGTGTAGGTTTTCATTTTGCAAGCCTAGGTTGATCTCTTGCACTGAGACAGCTGAGGAAATAGAATTTGTGCGCAGCGGGTCTAGCTCAGTTTGTTACTGTGAAATCCTGGGGACTTACAGCTTGCTTTGTTACGGTAGAATTTTGTAATTTTGAGAACTGCTCCATCTAGAAAAGTTTCTTTCTCTCCTGAAAACATTTTTTTGTTGTCTGCAATTGACTGGCAGAGTTATAGGCTTAAAGTGGGCTGATCATAAAACCTAAAGGAACCTGTGTAATGTGTCTGTAATGTAGGGTCTGTGGTAGTCTGAGAGAGTTCCTCTTTTTTAAAAGCATTCAGATTCACATTAAAAAAATTACTGTTCTGCAGTTTGATACTTCCTCAAAATATTAAAAATAAGAGTTACCATTTGACGCAGCAGTCCTACTCCTAGGTATATTCCCAAGAGAAATGAAGATGCATGTCCACACAGAAACTTGTACACAAATGCTCATAGCAGCATTATTCATGAAAGCCAAACTGTAGATACCACTCAAATGTCCATTGACTAATGAATGGATAAATAAACTCTGCCTGTGCTATGGAATACTATTCAGCCGTGAAAAGAATGAAATACTGGCACATGCTACAACATGGATGAACCTCGAACACATCTTGCTAAGTAAGTGGAAGAAACCAGTCACAAAAGGCCACGTAGAGTGTGCTTCCATTTATATGAAATGTCCAGACGAGGCGAATCTACAGACACACAAAGTAGGTTCGTGGTTGCCAGAGAGTTGGGTGGAGGGGTGGGCGGGCAGAGTGGACCGAGTAGGGAGTGATTAGAATGATACATGGTTTGTTTTTGGGTGATGAAAATGTTCTAAAACAGAGTGTGTGGTGGCGGTTACACAACTCTGTGAATATACTAAAAATCATTGAATTGTATAAATGGGGGAACTGTATGGTGGATGAAGTGTATCTCAGTAAGATGTTAAAAAATTTACTCTTTTGACCAAGTAAAACTCCTCCACTGGCCCACCAGCCACCAAGGCATAATCACTGTTTTAGAATATTCTAGTGAGCAGCTTAGTAGGTGAAAACTGTAATTGCAGAGCAATCGTGAGAATCACTCATTGTCCCCACCAGGCTTGAGGTGCAGTTGAGGAGCTTGTATTTTAGTTCAGGAAGCACACAGAGGGTGCAGCTGCTTTCCTCCTCCCGTTTGCTTTTCTGCCGTATGCAGTCTGCCATTCCTGCCTCCTTGGTGTTTTAAACCTCAGCAATGACTTTCTCCAAGAAATCTTTCCCGATTGCTGCCTGCTTAGAGAACACATCTCAAAGTACACTTCTGCTCCTTGAGGTATCGTGTCTCTGGCTCGTAAGGTGACATTTGTTCTGATTTCTTGGCCTTACCCCTTTTTTGAGCTGGCGTGTCTGCAAGTTCACCTGCCCTGCGTTGTTCAGAGGTAGTTGTGGTTGTCCAGCACAGAAACGGAGGAATATTTCAGCTGACGTACAGAGCTTCGAGAATGTTCACAGGAAGAGGAAGGCAGGCCATGTAGATTTGCTGTAGTTTTAATAACTCACCCATCTAGAAGTTTCCACAGCTTCTGGGGTCAGGAAAGGAGCTGGGGCCTGAGGCAGTGCCTTGGGGAGGGCTTGCAGCCACTGGCTGTGGACTTCTCTGTGCATTAGGTTCGCGTGAGGTTAGCTGAGACATTGTCCTCGCTTCTGCCTGACGCAGGTGCCTGTGCTTGCTGGGTCCAAGCTCAGTGTCTCCTCCTTTTACTTAGTTTCTCTCTGGCAACATATGAGCCGGCTATGCTGTAGGGGTACACTCTCTATATGGACCCAGTGTTCCCCTTGGAGGCTTTAGTAGAACTGAGGTTTTTAACCCTGCCGATTGCCACCCCCCCCTTGCCTCCAGACCCAGTTGCCATAGCTTCAGGGGCACTTCTCAGTCCCTTGCTGAAACTCCTGGAAGTATCTGGCATGTAGATAGCACTTTTCCCTAGTTTCTACCAGTAAACAGTTCTCCCCGTTTATATGCACTTGTAGTCATCAGTGAGAATTTGGAAGAGGAATGAAGTTAATTCGTGTTCCCATCTTGCCATATTGAAACTAAAGGCAGACTAACAATTTTCATCTTTCTACCTGTATTAAGGTGGATTTAGCTATGGGTATTGAAAAAGACAAAAATGATGGTACCTTAAACAAAATATAAGGTGATTTTTTTTTTCCACAGAAAGTTTGGACATGAGTCATCTAGGCTCCTTCTAGCTCTCTGCTCCATCCCCTCTAGTGTATATGGCTTATATCCTCAAAGTCCAATTTAGCTGCTGGAGCTCCAGCCATCACATCCACATTCCAGGCAGCAGGATGGAAGGAGACTGCAAAAGGACACATTCCCTCCTTTTTAAAGAGACTTCCCCAAAGTCCCACCCAGTCTTGTATCTCATTTACCAGAAGTTTATCACCTGACAATACTTATCTGCAAACGAAACTCAGAAATACAATGTTTTAACTATATGGAAATGTGCCCAGCTAAAAATTGGGATTCTGTTGCTTAAAAAAAAAAAATGGAGCATGAATATTGAAAGGATACTGGGATATTTCTGCCTCATTCCTGCTACTTCTTCACAAGTAGTCACAGGAGAGGAATTCTGTCTCTGGTGCCCTCCACCTAGAATAAGCCATGAGGGTTTGGTATCCCCCAGGGTTGACAGAGGTCAGAATTGGGAAGGTCAGTGCAGATGGAGAGGCAGAAGACTGATTGATGCAGTCATTCATTCAGTCAGCAAACACATACTAAGTACTTGAGACTCTGCCTGCCATACCCTCTGCCAGAGCCTAGTGCTGGGAAATACAGATGCCTGGAATACTCTGGAGCCCAGTGAAGGAGTCTGTGAAATGAGGGCGAGAGAAGACCTGGGCTGAGAGCTAAGCTGAACTCTGGAGAAATCGGGGGAACGGACCTGGAAGGGCACCTGGGAAGAGGGAGCAGGACTCATTGAGGGAGCCCAGTGCACTCTGGCTTGGCTGGAGCAGGACCAAGCCCAGCCCATCAGGAGGAGGGAGTGGAGGCTGACCAAGCAGGGCCTGGACAGCGTGCACTTGCGTCTGTGCGCCACAGGCTGGGACGTAGATGCTGGCTGGAAAAGTCTGTAGCCTCTGTTGTGGAGGTGGATAGGGGTTGGAGGGGCAGAAAGGGAAGAATAACAGGGAGGGAGAAACCAGTTAGAAGGTGGAGGGCCCCTCACCAAGAGGGCAGGTGTGGAGGACGTCAGAATCGCGAGGACTGGCCATGGTACCAGGCTGGATGTGGGGTCCCTGCTAGGGGTTGGGATGGTGGGGAGAGACTCGTGTCCAGCAGGGCCGGGGCAGGTGGTTTCTATTAAAACTGCATCACCCATCCATTCAGCTTCTCAGCACTCCGTGAGCTATAAAGCACCCAAGAGATACCAGGAGCTTGCTTTTGCCAGAGAGGTGGGAGTGCCTGCCTCTCAGAGAGGGCTAAGGACTGGTTAAGGGAACAGACTCTTCCCCAGTGACTCAAACCTGGCTCAAGGTTTGTGTTTGTTTTTAATCCAGAAAAGTAAAATGACTGTTAGCAGAGAAAAGGAAAGATGGGGGGTGGGGACAGTTTCAGAAAGAAAATCTCTATCCCTATATAAATCAAATGTTTTAAAGTAAAAAAAAATTAATCTTGTTAGGTATGAGGGAATAGAAAATAAAGCCTGCTTATAAAGTGAAAGACTAAGGATTCTCAAGAAGTTATGAAGTTTTATTTTAAATGACAATAGCATATCTCTAAAGTGTAACAGCATCTTGTAGTTTGTAAATGTAGATCGTAAAGGTGTTTGTAAACTCTCTTTGTAGATCCCACATCCACCCTGTGGTTTATATGGTGAGATTGTAATTTTTTGGTGGGGAAACTGAGGTAAGCCACCTGCCCAGTTCCCCCGGCAGTGAGTGGGAGTTGGCACCCTCTCTGTCTCCGGGACAACACTACCCCCTCCTCCTCAGCTCCAGCTGGAGACACGCGTGTGGGCAGCCAGTGCTTTGTCCCATCTCCCAGAGGAGCGCTGTTGTTGGAGTCTGATTTGTGAAGCTGTAGCATTGTCTGCAACAGCAGCTCCCCAGTGGGGAAGGCCTGGCCCAGGGACCCAATCCCTTAATGCTAAGGGAAGGTCAAGTCATGTTAACAAGGGGGCTGCTGCCCTCAGGAAAAGCCCATAAGGGAGGCCAGGGAATCTTCGGCTGAAGGGTGACGCGGCATTGTGGAGAAAGGCGAGGATGCTGGAGCCCTCGGCCAGGGTTCAAAGCGGAACTCTGCCACTTACTAGCCATGTTACTTTGAGTGCTTAAAAAAACAAACAACAAACAAAAAAAAACGACTCTGCCCCAGGTTTCCCTGTCTCCAAAATGGGGATCATGATCTGCCCCTCTGATGTCATGAGGGTTAAATGACTCATCTGTGTGAAGTCCTCAGAAGGTGCTTTGCACACATAGCACTGACTGCCCTCCTCTGGTCTGACGGTGACACTGGCTTCCCAGTGGACCTGGATTGGATCCTGCCAGGTGTGGACCCCCATGCCAGAGGTCGCTGTTGGACATGCAGGGTGATGGGTGTGCTTGCTTCATCTGAGCCCCTTCCGACCTTCCCTCCACCTTGCCGTAGAGGAACAGAAGCCAGTGGAGCAGAGGGCCTGATTTCCTGCCCAGGGCCCAGTCAGCGCTGGCAGCTGTTAGGCCCTCACCCATAGAAACCAAGGCTCGCACAGTTTTGAGATGCCCTTATTCTGAGCTCTGCTCTCATTCTCCACAGCCCTCTCTCCTTTCTTGCTTCTGCTTATTTCCTCACTCTGCCTTTCCACAGTCTGTCTCTGTCTCGTGCGTGGTGGGGAAACGAGGTGAGTCCCGCCATGCGTTTGTACGGTATCTGATGCTGTCAGCAGTGCAGCAACCTTGCAGTCGCCTTTCTAATAGCAGGATTTGGATTCCTCCTATTCTCGCCACCCAGATGACTATCTCAGAGATTTTCCTCACTTGGCTCATTTTAAGGGTCTTCCTAAAATGTATCTGTTAAGAAAATCCAAGAGCCAGATCTGAGGGGAGTTTGTTTTTTAAAAATGTTTTCAATGAAGCTTTAAACGTAAAGTGAGGACTGAGAAGTAGTAAATCATAACCAGTTTACTACTAATAAGCACCCACAGCTCATAATCATGAGATTTCTGTTGTGGCTGGGAAGAAAGTGTGGCATCCAGCAGACGGTGGCCAATCCCCTCTCTCTCCCCAGGTGGACATGGAAGCATTCCTCACGCTGACTGACGGCGACTTGAAGGAGCTGGGAATTAAGACAGATGGGTCCAGACAGCAGATTCTGGCAGCGATTTCTGAACTGAATGCAGGCAAGGTATTATTCTCTGTTTGTTGCATTTCCTTGTGTCAGACATCTGAGAGCTTCACCAGGGTCCTGGGATCTTGGGAAGATCTTAGTTCCTCTCCTCTGTCATGTGTGACAGTGAGCAGGCACTCACTACCTCCCAGAATGACCTGTTCCATTTTCAGACTTCTCCCCCCACGAGGTTTCTCCCCAGATGCAGCTAAAAATCTTCACTCAGGTAGTGTCAATGCACATGGCCAGGTGTTGTCCTCGGGAGCCCTGTGAAAGCAGAGCCTTCAAGCCTTTGGTTCAGATGTGCCCTGGGGTCAGGCTGGCCTGGGTGTGAATCCCAGCTCCTTCACTTACTCACTGTGTGGGTGAGGCAGACACCTCTCTGAGCCTCGCTGTCGCTATCTGTAGGGTGGGGATGATGGAATTGTGGCAAGGACTAAAATGCTCAGCAGAGCTCCTGGCACACACACAGCCGTCAGTCACTGTTGCTGGCTTCTCACAGTTTTGTCTCATGTTAAATTTCTCATCAGCTTTAAAGCTAAAGATGTCAGTTCCCACGCCCGCCCCCCCCTCCGCCGCCGTGCCCAACCAAAGGCACACACCAAAAACTAAAAGAAAAAAGGCGAAGCACCGCTTACATTGCAAGCTTTGTTGTAGTTGCTATTGAGCTGTTCGAACTCCTTCGTCGTCCCCTTTTTTCCTTGCTATAGGATGCCCTTTTCTGTTCCGCATTCTAGCAGCAATGTGCAGTACTTGTTTACCTGCTGCTTTTTCACACTTTGCCTAACAACTTTCCACTTGTTGGACGATAGTTTCATGCCTGGAATTTTGCTATTATAAATATTGCCAGAATGGACATCTCTGCCTTTTTCCTCTTTCTTTTTATTTGTTCTTTGAGCTGGCTTCCATGATATGTGGTGATAGCAGAGGGCATGGCCATTTTTGTGGTTCTTTCTGTTTGTCGCTGGACTATGCACAGACATACCGAACAGACCCGTAGCACCAGCAGCAAATAAATATTTACCCAGCACTTTATCATTTATAAATCACTGCATACGTTTCCTCATCGGTCTTGGAGACAGCGCAGGGAGGCCGGTGTCCTTACACTTACCTCATCTGGCTGGCGAGGGCGAGAGTCTGGGAGGCGGAGGATGGTGCGCAGGTCGTGCGGTGGTGGGCAGTGGGCATGGAAGCTAACCCAGGCCTCCTGCCTCCTTCTCTCCACCTCTGCAGCGCGCCGTGCTATGCAGAGGCCGCTCCTCCCAGCCCTGCCGGGATTGAAGGTGCTTGTTTTGTTGTCCCCATAGTCATTTGTATTACCTGCCTGAAGGCTGTGAGGTGATCCTTCAAAGTGAAGCCCTTAGCATTGCTTTGGGCATCCCAAGGCCAAGTAGCTTTCCTCCAGTCGGAACTCGTTCTTTCTCCTCTGTAAATGGCCTGACTCTCAACGTTTCTTGCCTGTTGTGTGGGCCTGAACCCACCTCACTTTACGTCTGGGGAAGCCCAGCCTCAGGGTTGGGCAGTGATGCCTGACTTCCAGACCAGCACCGCTCTGCTCTGCTGTTAGATGTCAGCGGGGAGGGCAGGGGGGCAAGGCAGGTATGGAGCTTGTCAGAGGCGGGCATCATCCAGGAAACTGAAGCCTGAGGGTGGCTCACAGAAGGCGAATCAACCAAAACAATCTCTAAAGACTGGGACATTAATTTATTCATGAAAAAGAGCCTTTGTGTCTCAGGCACTGTGTGGGTATTGACCATTCAGCGTCACTCCATGCCTAGCGTTGTGCCCTGAGCATGTCACACATTATAGTTATTCATTTAATCCGTATGAAAGCTGCTGAGGTCAGTTTCAGTTTATAGATGAGGAAATCAAGGCTCAGAGAACTTGCGGGATTCACCCAAGAGCTCCAGCTGCCTCGGTGTAACTAACCCACAGCACATAAAGGAGAGGCGGGTGGTGCTGTGAGAGCTCCTGGCTTATAGTCGGGGCTGACATCCCTGAGGAAGTGGCAGGGCAGCTGAGGTGTGAAGCAAGGCTGGAAACCACTGGGTAGAGGGATAGTAGAAAAATGCAGACTGCCGAGGGAAGCACACGTGCAAAGGCCCTGTGGTGGGGTGTGCAGTGTGTTTGAAGAACTAAAGAAATGGCTAGAGCACAGAGCAAGAGCCATGACATGTGGGGAGGCCCAAGGAACAGAGCAAGGCCACCAGGATGGTAGAGAGTGACTCAGTCAAGTAAGGGAAAGGGGTTTGGGGAGGGGAGGTGGGTGAGCGATGGGGAGGGGCTGTGGCCCAGGCATTAGAGGAGGCTTCCTCCTTCTGGCTGCCAGAGGCCAGATGTGTGAGCCAAGGAGAGGATGGAGTGGGGAAATTTTAGGCTTAAGCTGATTAAGAAAGAAGGACGGAAAAGGTCCTGGAGGCAGGGCCAGTGAGAGGACAGGCCAGGAGCTGATGCCACCAGATGGCAACTGCTAATGCTTCTGGAACCTTCCCTCTTACCTCTGTGGCTATGCCCTCCTTGGCCCAGGATCACAAAAAAGCAGACAGACTGGGCTAGTTTGCAAACCTTAGGAAACTTAACTGGCATCATCAGAGTGAAGGATGTGACATCTTGAGCCCATCCCAATGGGGGACATTCTTAAAGTTTTACGGACTGGGGCCTTTTTTTCAGTTTCCTCTCAAATTCATTGCCCCCTATTCCCTGTTCTGTGGCAGTCTGTATCCTATACTAAACAGGCCCCATCAGGAGAAGCAGAAGAAACAGCTGTTAGTGGTCCTGCTTAGGGGCCCAGCTCACCAGCTCCCAACCAAGAGGCCCAGGTGCCTGTGACATGCCAGGCCAAGGACACCACTTAGTCCCACCCATGTCCCTCCAATAGGCAGCATCCCCCTGCAAAGTCAGGCAGTTCCAGTAATAGGTGCAGAGGGAAGGAGCTGATCTGAACTAATTCCCTGGAGAAAGACCCTGTTATTCAAGAGTAAATAGTACCAGATAAAGTCCTCTGGAAGTGAAGACCACATATCATCATGAGTCAGAGAGAAAAGGCATGTTTAGGAGAAGTGTAATAGTACAAAAGCAAATTTAACTTCTGCTATATTTTTCTAAGTTAGCACTGCAACAGTGTGCTGGTTCTTAGATGTGCAAGAACTCTTCAGGCCAAAGGTGGCTTCCAAGAACCGGTTCAGTGCCCTTACAGCCTTCAGATGCTCTGGGCTTTGGGTATTCCAGACTGGACTTGCCTGACCCTGACATCAGGGGCTCCTGCCTCTTTCATTTTGCTATAGGGCATGAACTTCTCTTTGTAACATTCATACTCTTTCTTTTGTGACACAAGCGTGGACAACCAAGCGTGTGCACGCTTGTGTTGCACAAGTACCTGTCGTAGCTCAAGTGCTCAGTACACATTGGAGAGCCCAGACCAGGACACATGAGAGGGCGAGGCCCAGCTTTCCTTGCCCCAATGTCTTTCTAGCTGTGGTCCACAGCACACTGGTGGGTTTTATGTAATCCATTTAATGGGGCATGAGCAGCATTTTAGAAAATAAAATAGAAAATAGCAACATGCTTTTGCAGATAGGACAAAATGTTTCAGTTATATGTGTTTACATGAAAACGGTGTGTTATAAAATGCATTTTTTACATAATCAATAAGAGTGAGCATTTTGGCCTAAAAACTTTTTTAAGTGCCTATTTAAAAAAACCTGGCTCATAATATAATATCAGCAAGTCTTATTAGGCCCAGCAGTATCAGTAAGACATGGACCCTCAGCCTGCAAGCCATGTCACTTCCAGATGAGCCCACCCCAGTGTTGGAATTGTAATATATGCTTGAGTCTGCTCATTAGTTTGTTAGTTTTGAACGAGTTTCATATTGAAGGTTTACCAGAAGTGAGGAGTTAGTTGGTCCTAAGCCGTTGTTTCTTTCTGTTGCCCTTTTTTGTGATTGTCAGTGCAGTATATACTGATTTTATTAAATTTACACAGTACCAAAATGGTGAAAAGAATTGTTTTTAAGAAATCACAGTTCACTCGGAGGCCAACAGTGTTCACTGTTGGGCAGATTACTCTGCAGTGCTTTGTGTCCTTTTTTTTTTTTCTTTTTTAAAGAGAGGAAGTCTTCCTGTGTTGCCCAGGCTAGCCTCAAACTCCTGGCCTCAAGGGATCCTCCCACCTCAGCCTCTTGAGTAGCTTGGATTATGGGCACGTATCACCACATCCTTAAATTTGTTTTAAACATGACTAAGATAAACTTGGGTCTGTAATTTTATATCCTGCTTTCTTTAATATGAAATACATGCAGCTACTCATGTCATTAAGAACTCTTTTTCGTATATATTTGCATAGATGTGCTAAAATTAATTTGAAAAAAATTTCTACCTGTTATGTACATTTTCAAACGTTGTATAAATGGTGCTGCAATGGACGGCTTTGTGTCTGAGGCCTTCCAGCCATCTCCTCACAATAGATATCTAAAAGTGGAATTACAAGAGTCCAAGAGTCAGAATCAAGGCATATGTACATCTGAATGACTTTCTGAAAAGAGCCAGTGAGCAGTTCGACTGGCTGTGAGTGTGTGAGAGTTTGTTCTTTTCACTGCAGCTTTGCCAGTATTACTATCAGTTTGTTTTTTAAATCTTTATAATAATTTGATAGGTAAAAAAATGTACCTTGTTTTAATTTGTACTTTTTGAAATACTAGATAGGTGAATCTTTTTTCTACATTTGGCTATTTATTTTTTTTCCTTTTGAGAATTATCAGGCAGGTTCTTTGAAACTCAGGGATTTTTAAAGGGCAGTTATCATTATCATCTTCAATCAGTTGTTGATCCAGGAAACAATTATGGTTTTAATCATCTACAGCTCCCTCCTAACGTTAGCAGGCAGCAAGGGCCGGAACCCTATCTCGCCCTGACCTCATTTCTCAGGCAATTAAGGCTAAGGTGGTGTATAATAACAAAATTGCTGTCAACCCTTCCATTTGCCTTTGAGCCCTCTGCAGTTTGCACAGTGCCACCCCATTCATTATCTCAGGGTGAGCTTCAGCGCTGCCTTGGCAGGTAACATTATCCCCATTTTACAGATACTTAGCGGAAAAGGGGCGGGCCTGGATGCTGGCACTAATTAGTGGTAGCTGGGGTCCAGATCCTCTGACTTGGCTTCCAGTGCTCTTCATATCCTGCAGCCTTTGGATCTCGTCGATAGAATCTGGAGGGCATTTTTCCAGCTTATTTAAAATTGCTTGGATGGGTTGGCATGAGGGGAGAATCTTAATGTCCTCTTGAGTCTAGGAGGCCTTGTCCACCCAAGAGGTGTCTGTGTAGGGGTCTGGAGAGGGGCCCCTCTGGACCAGGGGGAGTCCATGAAATAAAGTTTGAAGTCTGGGCTCATTCCGTGGATTTTTCCCCCTTTTCACTCTTAGTAGAGAACAATCTGCCAGACATGATACATTTTTAATTTACTTTACATTTTGACTATATTTATTAATTTTTAAAAATATGTTTAATCCACTGCTGCCCTCTGAAGATAGAACCTGTCTGCCTCCAGCTACCCCCACAGGGTCTGGTGGGTAAATGTGCTAAAATTAATTTTTTAGAAATTTCTACCTGTTGGTTATATAGATTTCCAAACTTTGTATAAATGGTGCTGCAGTGGGCAGCTTTGTATGTGAGGCCTTCTAATCATCTCACAGCCATCACCTGTGGGGCTGTTATCATCCCTGTTTTGTAGATGAGGAAACTGAGGTCCAGGGAGATTAAGTATCTTGCTCAGGGTGACCCAACTAGCAAATAAGAGAAGTGGGCTCTGAACCTAGACTGTGACAGGGTCTTGCTCTTTTGCCCAGGCTGGACTTGACCTCCTGGGCTCAAGTGATCCTCCCACCCCAGTCTGCGAGTAGCTTGGACTACCAGTGCATGCTGCCATGCCCAACCCAATCTCTGTTCTTTGTTTTTTTATAAAAAGGTTTTTTTTTTAAATTTCCATAGGTTATTGGGGAACAGGTGGTGTTTGGTTACATGAGTAAGTTCTTTGGTGGCGATTTGTGAGATTTTGGTGCACTCATCATCCAAGCAGTATACACTGCACACTATATGTAGTCTTTTATCCCTCACCCCCTTGCCACCCTTTCCCCCGTCCCCACAGTCCACTGAGTCATTCTTACGCCTTTGCATCCTCATAGCTTAGCTCCCACTTATGAGTGAGAACATGCAATGTTTGTTACTTCATTCCTGAGTTACTTCACTTAGAATAATAGTCTCCAGTCTCATCCAGTTTGCTGCAAATGCTATTAATTCATTCCTTTTTATGGGTGAGTAGTATTCCATCATATATATCTATATATATAACAGTTTCTTTATCCACTTGTTGATTGATGGACATTTGGATTGCTTCCACGTTTTTGGAATCGTAAATTGTGCTGCTATAAACATGTGTGTGCAAGTATCTTTTTCATGTAATGACTTCTTTTCCTCTGGGTAGATACCCAGTAGTGGGATTGCTGGATCAAATGGTAGTTCTACTTTTAGTTCTTTAAGGAATCTCCACACTGTGTTCCATAGTGGCTGCCCTAGTTTACATTCCCACCAGCAGTGCAGAAGTGTTCCCAGATCACTGCATCCCCACCAACGTCTCCTGTTTTTTGATTTTTTTATTATGGCCATTCTTCAGGAGTGAAGTGGTATCACATTGTGGTTTTCATTTGCATTTCCCTGATCGTTAGTGATGTTGAGCATTTTTTCGTATGTTTGCTGGCCATTTGTATATCTTCTTTTGAGAATTGTCTGTTCATGTCCTTAGCCCACTTTTTGATGGGATTGTTTTTTTCTTGTTGATTTAGTTGAGTTCATTGTAGACTCTGGATATTAGTCCTTTGTCAGATGTATGGATTGTGAAGATTTTCTCCCACTCTGTGTGTTGTCTGTTTACTCTCCTGTTTCTTTTGTCATGCAAAAGCTCTTTAGTTTAATTAAGTTCCAGTAATTTATCTTTGTTTTTATTGCATTTGCTTTTGGGTTCTTGTTCATGAAATCCTTGCCTAAGCCAATGAGTAGAAGGGTTTTTCCAATCTCATCTTCTAGAAGTTTTATAGTTTCAGGTCTTAGATTTATGTCCTTAATCCATCTTGAGTTGATTTTTGGATAAGGTAAGAGATGAGAATCTAGTTTCATTCTTCTGTATATGGCTAGCCAACTAACGCCAGCACCATTGGTTGAAAAGGGTGTCCTTTTTGTTTTTGTTTGCTTTGTCAAAGGTCAGTTGACTGTAAGTATTTGGGTTTATTTACGGGTTTTCTATTCATTCCATTGGTCTGTGTGCCTATTTTTATACCACTACCATACTGTTTTGGTGACTATGGCTTTAGAGTATAGTTTGAAATCGTGTAGTGTGATGCTTCCAATTTGTTCTTTTGGCTTAGTCTTGCTTTGGCTGTACAGGTTCTTTTTTGGTTCCATATGAATTTTAAAATTGTTTTTTCTAATTTTGTGAGGAATGATGGTGGTATATTTATGGGAATTGAATTGAATTTGTAGATTGCTTTTGACAGTATGGTCACTTTCACAGTATTGATTTTACCCATCCATGGGTATGGGAATATGTTTCCATTCGTTTGTGTCATTTATGATTTCTTTCGGCAGTGTTTTCTAGTTTTCCTTATAGAGGTCCTTCACCTCCTTGGTTAGGTATATGCCTAAGTATTTTATTTATTTATTTATTTATTTATTTATTTAGTAGCTATTGTAAAAGGGGTTGAGTTCTTGATTCGATTCTCAGCTTGGTTGCTGTTGCTATATAGAAGAGCTACTGATTTATGTCCATTAATTTTATATCTGAAAATGTTACTAAATTCTTTTATCAGTTCTAGCAGCTTTCTGGAGCTGTCTTTAGGGTTTTCTAGGTCAACGATCATACCATCAGCAAACAGTGACAGTTTGACTTCTCTTTACCGATTTGGATGCCCTTTCTTTCTGCTGTCTGATTGCTCTGGCTAGGACCCAGTCTCTGTTCTTAACCTCTGAGTTTTGCTGCTTCTCAGCCTGGTATGCAGTGATGATGTTTTCTGGGCTTAACAGAACATTCACATCACCCTTTTGTCTCATCTGAAAATGTGTGTATAAGGGGGCAGGGGGAGTTATAGGAATACAGTGAGAAGTGAATCTCTATGAAGATGAATCTGACAGCTTTTGGGCAAAACGGAGCAAAGGCAGTTCAAACTCTTAATCCTGTAGCAGAAGGAAACTTGGCTCCCACTGAATTTTCTGGCAATCTGAGGACTGGAAAGATGCACAGAGGTGCAGGGAAGGAGGCCTCACATCTGGGCCGTGGGACTCAGGAGGAGTCAGTCCTGTCCTGAGCCCAGCCTCTCGCTGTGTCCAGGGGCTTGGGGTCCTACATTCAGGGCCTCTGCAGCACTGACAGGCTGCAATGGTGGGAGCTGGGGCGATTCTGACTCAGTATGTTTTTTATTAAACTCCGTACTCTTTCAATTAGTCATTTATTTCCCCCAAGATGCCCATGGGTTTTTCAAGTATGAGTTGAACATTAACGACACTGTCAATTGAATTAATGGTTAAAAGGTTTAACAGGACTTTCTGTTTCTGTTTTCAATTTTCTCCACAGGGACGCGAGAGACAAATTTTACAGGAAACCATTCACAACTTCCATTCTTCCTTTGAGAGCAGCGCCAGCAACACCAGGGCCCCTGGCAACAGCCCCTGTGCGTGATCCTCCTTCCCGCAGCCGCCAGCGTGAGCTCTCTGAATCCCGGGACCCCTTCACATGGCCAGGGCCCCAGCCCCAGCCCCACCTCCATCACACTGCTGTGCCTTAGTCACATTATTCCCCGTGCTCGAAATGCCCCACTTCACGTCCACTGCATTCGTTGGTAGTACTTGTTACTGTAACAAACTTCGTACAGAGACATTCCTATGTAACATTCCAGTGGGGGTGCTTCTGGTTGGCAGGTGGTTTCACACAGTGATGCGGGGACTCAGCTTCTTTCATCCTGTGCTCTACCCTCCCCGGGAGCGTCAGAGTTTGCTTCTGGCTGGCAGCAAGGGAAAGGGACGATGGAGAAGGCACAGCTGCTTCTTACCTGCCTTGCTCTTAACTGGCACACATCACTCCTGCTTAGGTCCTCTTGGCTGCTGGTAGTCATGTGACCCCACCTGGAGGCAGACGAGGCTGGGATGTGCAGTCTCCGTAGAGTGGTTTCCCAGCAACAACTTTTGACTTAGATGGGGGTTATGTATTATGGTGGGAGGTTAGCCCCCCTGCCACATCTTCCCTTAAAACTTGTAACTTGTCCCTCCTGGTCCAAGTCACCTCTCAGATGAAGTCTTTTTTTTGACCCCCTTTCAACCGCTGGGTGCCTTCCTGCTGTGTATGTGACTGCTCTAGCAATTCCACTGCACCTGCTGCATCCAGCTTGCAGCACGCGTTCGAGATGTGTATGTCAAATGCGTTTTTCTTTATTCCAAAGACAGTCTGTTTAGAGGGAGAGAAGAGGAGGCCTGCTGTGTGGATCTCTTCTCCCTAGCTTTTTCAGTTTCCTTATCTGCAAGGTGGAGGGTCAGACCAGATGATGCTCTGCTACTCCGCAGTGCTCACCCGTATCACTGCAGGGCTTTCTGCACTGAAAGTAGAAGCAGAAGACTAATGGGTCACGTTGTGAGTCTCTGGTGCTCAAAGGTTCTAGGCAAAGAAGTGACAAATTTGGAATTTCGTCTAAATTCTGTTAATGTGTTCCTCAAAAGGGAATTGGCTTGTGTTGTTTCCTACCATATCATATTATATGAGAGGGGGCCTGACTTTTAAAACCCAGTGGCTTTCTGAAGTTTTCCAGTGAGTGACTCATTCAGCCAGTGCTTGTTGCATTTATGTTAGATACCAGGCCCTGAGTGTGCAGACACAATCCAGAGCCTTCAGGCTCTCGACAGGCAAGAGAATACCTGTAAACACAGTCACAGCCTTGAGAAGCAGCTTCGGGGAGTGGAAAGACTGTGCTCTGGACTCAGGTTCAAAGTTCATATGCAGCTCTATGGCCTCTTAGTTGGAGCTTAGAACCAGTGTGCGTGAAGTGCTGGGTCTGCAGGAAGTAGCCAGTAGATGGTAGGCTTCACAGAACTCTAATCCCTACCCTGAGCTGTGTGAGCCATGTGTTGGTCTCCTTGGGAGGTACTGTCTCTCATCTGTCCCTCCCCCAGCCATGAAAGCCCACGCCCCTATGCTGGCTTTCAGAGGTAGTCGTTACCCTTCTGCCCAGAGCCTCGTAGTTTTCTTCCCCTGCCCTGATAGCGGGTATTTTTCCTCTAAATCCTCTCAGCCTTCTACTCACAGAAGCCAGCTTTCCACAGGACTGAAGACAAAGTATTTCGTTTATCTGTTACTGACAGACACATTTACAAAGGTTTCTCATGTCCCAGCCTTTTTAAGGAGACACACTCATTCATCGCCTACTATGTGCTGGCAGCTTTACCTTTGTCATTTCATCCTCCTGGCCACCCTGGAGGTGGCATTGTGTAACTTCATCTTGCACATGCAGGAAATGGATGCTCAGGTGAGGGAAGCTGCAGATCCAGGCTCAGAACCAGACCTGGTGGGCTTGCAAGCCTGTGCCTTTTCCACAAACTCCTATAGACTCCCTGAGCGACAAGTGCTTGTGATTCTTGTTTTAATTTACTGGTGGCTTCAGGGATTAACAGTAGACCTAGAATTGTTTGCCTCTGAAATTCATGGCCCCCGACATTATGTGCTTTGAGGTTTTGTGCTTGCTTTCTGCTATGGTCCTGTTTCTTTCATAACCATATACTGGCATAGCTTACACTCAGGTAAGTTTCACTGAACACCAGTGATAAACAGGAGCTGTGCCGGGGGGTCAGCTTTCCACAGATGTAGACCTCCATGAATACACTGGATGACCCTGGACAGAGCGAGGCTATTCCCATTTTGCAGACAGGACAACAGAGGCTCCAGACAATGCCTCTTTTTTCTTTTTCACTGGACTCAAGTGACCAGGGCTTTTTCCCCTAGGCCAGTCGTCCCCAAACTTTTTACACAGGGGGCCAGTTCACTGTCCCTCAGACCGTTGGAGGGCCGCCACATGCTGTGCTCCTCTCACTGACTACCAATGAAAGAGGTGCCCCTTCCTGAAGTGCGGTGGGGGGCCGGATAAATGGCCTCAGGGGGCCGCATGCGGCCCGTGGGCTGCAGTTTGGGGACGCCTGCCCTAGGCACTTTGTGTACTGGTTCACAAACGGTCCCTGGCACCCTTTCTGGGCAGGTTTGGATGTGGCTGGCAGGCAGGGAAGAGAAAGGGCACCCTAGCAGGGGCATGTGCAGAGGCAGCATGTAATGTGTAGGTTATAGATTGTCAAGGAGGAAGGGTCAGTCGGGTGCTTGTTTTTCTGATGTTTGGTCCTTGGTCACCCCCTTCCCACCCCGCGTGTCCCCAGCCTGCCTCCAGGAGGCTGTTCCCCCCATGAGAAGTACCTCCCTTGCTCAGTGACCTTCACCAGCATTTCCCAAAAGTGTGCTTCTTGGAACCCTAGTTCCTTCCACAGGATGTGAATAGGTTTTTCATGAAGAAAAGTAGGGGTGCGTGTGTGAAAGTGGGGTGAGGTTCCCTGGTGGAGTAATTTGGCAGCCACTGAGCTAAAGCAAGCTACGTGATTGCTGCAGGCCTCTTAACCTCCAGTATGCCAGCACGCCTCAGGCCTCTTCACAGGGCCAAGAAGCTTGCGGCGTCTCCCACATTACTCTGACCACTTCTCCACGGTGCTTTTGCAAGACTGAAATTCCTTGGACACCACTGGGGAAGCCCTGCTTTGGTGGGAACAGTGGCAGCCGTGAGGCCTCGCAGCCCTGGGAGTGGGTCAGGGCCGTTGGTGGCCACCCTTTTTCTCCCCAGCAGCTCTCTGCAGAGGTGGCCTACCTGGCAGTGGGACATCGGGACATGGGGCCTGCTTTAGATGGCAGGGCCCCTGTTCCGAGAGTGCTCCATCCTGAGGCTCTCCTGTGGGGTGGAGGGCATTGTTTCCCAGCACCCACGCGGCGTCTTGCTGGTGTGCTAGAGGTCCACGCCCCCGCTGGCCAAGGAGGGCTCCTGCCTCTTTACTTCAGCACCACAGAATTCTATGGAGGCCAGCTGGTTTTGTGAGGAGAAAGTTTACTTTTTAATTCTTTTGTTTACCAAACGCTTACTTAGCATCTGCTCTGTGCCAGCTCCACTCCTGTACTCTGCCTCCAAAGATGAAAAAGGACTTCTCTGCCCTCAAGGGAACCCCGCAGTGTCTTAGAGGAGACAAGCGCATCAGTGAGATGGTGCGGTGACGAAGTGTGCTGGGTACGCCGCTCGGGGAAAGTCACCAGCGATGGCTCAGGCTCATCCTGGGCAGGCCTCAGAGCAGAGAGCTGGAGTGAGACCTTGAAGGGCAGGTTTGGGCAGGAAAGAGAAAGGGCACCCCAGCCGAGGCACGCACAAAGGCAGCATTAACGTGTATGTTATAGATCGTCAGGAAGGAGGGGTCAGTTGGGTGCCTGTTTTTCTGATTTTTGGTCTTTTGAAATGAGTAGAAGCAACCTCTTACCCTGGAAAGAGCACTGGGCCTAGAGTCAGAGCTAGTGCTGCATGACGTTGAACACGTTTCTTCTTCCCTCTGAGTTTCAGTTTCCCTTTTGGATCAGGTGAAAGTGAGAAAGCCCTTTTCACACTGTGAAGTGCAGATGTGAGAAACCTCACAGGTGGTTGCACATTTTAAATCCTTTCTCTCACCTCCCATCTCTCTCCCTTCTGCCTGGACATAGCCATGGCTGGGTGGGTGAGGCCAGAAGAAACTGCGTCTGGCAAGAGGTAGCAGCTGCTGCAGTGGCTCTGCTGGCATCAGAGCGCACGGAAATGAGGGGTGGCCGACGGATCTGCCCTCCACATGTGCCTGACCCTGGTCTTGGTGTCATTGGGATTCCCAGCACAGCGGACAGAAAGAAAGGCAGTTTGGCCAAGTCGTAGAAGCTGATCCACGGGGCAAAAAGAGGGCAAGGAACCCGTCCCTCTTCTGCTTACCTAGGAGCTGCCTGAAGACATCGTCACACAGGCCAGGTGAGAGGCTGGACAACTTTGTACATCTGCGCTACCTGTGCTTCCAAGTAAATGCCTCCTGAAGGGCCCGGGACCCTGCCTCAGAGGACTCTGCAGCGAGATTGAAGGTGCTGTCAGCAGAAGGCGCTGTGAAGCACCATCCTGTCGCTCTCCCTGTCCATTCCTAGCAAATTAATTGTGTCTTGTTAACCAGCAGCTCCTATCCAACAAGTAAAAAGACCTAATGTTTTCCCTTAAAAAGCTGATACCAAATTCTGCAGGACTGGCCTGCAGAGGGAATCTCCGTGTGTGAGGTGGATCCTCTGGCCTCGGAGGGCTCTGCTCCTCCTTAACATACAGCCTAAGAGTGGATTTAGACCTGGCCTTAATTTCATCCCCCCAGCTGAGAAGCCAGACCCCAAAATATAGTTGTTGCTGAAGCTTGGGAATGACAGAAGGGAAATCCACACAGAATCACAGGTAGTGAGCTCGAGGACAAAGCCCAGGTCACCTGTGCTCAGCTCCTTTTCCCTGGCACTACACTTCCTTCCCAAGACTGAGACCACGTCTCCCTGCTCCTGAGAACCCCCTTCCCTCCAGGAACCCCCCTGCCAACTCGGGATCCTGCCCAGCTGAGTGGC